GCTTTTGAAAGGAAATGGCGTAAAATTGAATCAAAAACGGTTAAAATAGCAACTGAATCCATTAGAGACAAGCTTTGAATCAAAAATCAGTCAAAAACTAAAACAAAAATCCCGAATTCAGCCAAATTCTACCTTGATGCCAGTCGCTATTGTCAATCTCTTGGCGGAGTTCCAGTGAAAATTCAGAACATTTTGGAAAACACTTATGTATTCTCAATGACTAAGCAAGGTAATCCGGTAAAATTAGCATAAATTTGAATAGTTTAAGGCTTGAACAATCTATCACCGTATATTGGAGTGGAAAGGAAAATGAATAACGTTTGGACTTACGCTGATGGATCACCGCTCACTTATCAGAATTGGGCTCTCAGTGAGTTTATTTGAAAGTTTTGATTGATTCGGTAAGTAAGTGCTAATCAATTTGAACTGATTATCGTTTAGATCAACCGAACAACTCGAGCAATACGAGTCTTTGCACCATAATGGACCCTCAAAGTGGATCTTGGCTGGCAGCTGAATGTTCATTTGCGCGTCCATTTTTCTGTTCAATAAATGGAAATGGTAAGTCAAATGAAACCGAAATTGTCCCCATATTGCCTTCCAGATTTTCAATGTCCTGATGGCTGGTTATATAACGAACAGTTTGATTATTGCTATTTCTTGCAGGTATCCTTCTTTTGAATCACCAGTGTTAGTTCTAGAATTTCACCTACACTGATGGCGTTTATTGGCAACTATACAATGTCACAACAGCTGAGGCTATTTGCAGAAGAATGGATTCCCATTTGGTCTCGATTCATTCAGAAAACGAAAACAATTTTGTGCTTGGTAAGTTCGGGGTGTGACCCGCTTTAATCTTCGGGGATGATTTTGTTTCAGAATAGCCGAGTAGCACAAAAGGTTAAACGCGTTTCTCCAAAACACTCACAACATAACAAGAGCACGCAACATCCAGCATCAGATTAACGCTCGTGATACGAGATACAATTTGATACAATTTGATACGCTCGTGATACAATTTACTTCAAACTATTAAAGTAAATTGGATTTATGGTTTTACGGTTTATTAGTACAGAAAGTAAAAAAAGCAACATTACCCATTACAAAAACAAAGTGCCGGTTTTTACATTGTTTCATCAGATTCCAGTTCCAGTTAACTAAAACAAGACCTTAGCCAATAAACGAAAACCTTTTTAGCAGCCAGCTTGATGTACAACACAATATTCTAGGGTGAACCTCTATATCACTTTCGGCGCGGAGGTCTTTTTTTGGAGGGCGCGGAAAAGGGCATAACTCAAGAACTAGGAGAACTCTTGTAAAATAGTTATAAGTTCCAGAAACTACAGAAAATTTGCTACATCTTTGGATTTGAGTTCAATAGGTTTTGATAAATCCGGCATCATCTACAAGTCCAAAACCTTGCGTCAAATTTCGTCGGCCACCCTGTAGAATCCTCATACAATCAGCACAAACTTTGTAGTTATCTTCAGATCTTGTATATGCAAACTCAAGGAAAATACCGATCACAACTTCTGACAATGATTCATGTAATCGGCAATGGACTTGGATCGGCTATTATGGGAATGGAACAGTTGGTGTTGGAACTTGGACTGATGGATCTCTTGTTGATTTTACATTTGGTCCGCCTGTTAGCTGGTCGGCTTACCATATTGTAAGTGGGATTTTAAACAATAATTGCAAACGACTGTTATTGATTGACGACATTTTGTTAGATTATCTATTTTAGATTTCAAATGATCCGTCATGTAATTATCGAGCTTGGACGACACAATCTTCCTATGAAATAAGCTTTGCTCGTTTCGTTTGCAAGAGACCGTCAAAGAGTCGTTTGGCCAAAGAAAAGGCATTTTTAAATAAGTTTTGAATAAATCTTTTTGAAACAGACGGACATTACAAGGCAATTGTCAGTTTAAAACGGTTTAACATTCAAAAACTGAAAGATCTATTCAAAAACCCTCCTTGTCCAAAATATTTGCCCAAAACTTTTGTTGTCCGCAAGAGTAGGTTAATTTCTTATCTCTACTCTGCAGGAAGTTCCATTAATTTTCGAATTTCTGTTCCAAAATCGGGTCAAAGCGGTTAAAAACAGCTGAATGGATTAAGAATGTGGTGATAAAAGGTGTTTTTAAGCATTGACTTACAAAAAGGAAAGTTTTATGGTAATGTTCAACACCAAAAAATGGAAGAACCAGAAGAGTTGAAAGGTTTGGAAAGAAGTGTTTTGGTGGAACTGGTGTTGATCAAATGTGAAATTGCTATAAATGGAGAGTGTAAATGAAAAAGAGACTTTTCGATAGAAAGTGTTCAAAATTTTGTCTACTAGCCACTATAGTTATAATTTGAATAACCTGGATTCTATTCTTGAGCTGATTCAGGTGCGAAGTTGATGTTTAAGTGAAGTAAACAGTAAATAGTAAGTAAAAGCTTAAGTAAACAAGGTTTTAGATCATATAGTAAGAGTCTTATTGGCTGAATAAGAGTAAAAGTGAAGTTTATAATCTGTGACTTAGTTTTCCAGCGTGTTTTTCTCTTGTTTTCAAAGCACATCAGTTTCACATTGAAAAATTAAATTATTTGTCTTTATCGTTTCCTGGTCATCCTTCAGATCAGACAGATCCTTCAGTGATAAAAACGGAAGAGTTTCACTACGAAATTGGGTAAATGCATTTTTGCCAAGTTCCCAAGCATGGCTCTTTTGTAGTGGCCCTACCATACAGGAATGTTTGTATAAATATAATAGATGTTTGTAAAGACTTTAGAACAATTGAAGATCAATTATTATATCTTAATAATGAAGCAAAAAAGCTTTACCAGCGAGAGGATTCGAACCAGGGACAAAAAAGACAAATTAGAGTCCGACGCCTTAACACACCATCCACTGGGCCACCGAGGCACACCCACATGATAAGGATTCGAAAGCAGTTTCGGGATGCCCTTAACTAGGGTGTGTTTACATCTCAGACTCAGCCCGCTCATGGAATCTAACTTCAAAGGGTTCCCCTGTAAGAGCTCAAAGCCGTATCTCCTGTACCAGATTCAGGTTGGACAGCTCAAAGTCGCTTTGAGTCGGGCTTCGAGTGAGATTTCGGTGATCGATGACCGACCATAGTTCGAACGCGACCCAGCAAGTGTATTGCAGTAAACGGAGAATATTTTGAGCATTTAATGTAAGAAGGTAGCGCTAATTCCGGCGGACCCTGTAATGGATGAGGCAATTTCTGTGAATGAGAATTATTACCCAACATCGTTTCTATAAGGGCAAATTGGTGAAAGATGAACGGGGAACACCAATAAACGATGCAAAATGGAGGAAGCCAAAAATTCTTGATTTACTCGGGTTTTGTCAAAAGTACATGTAAATTTTGAGTTGTAAATTTACATTTTAACTGCCATTGATCCCTTGAAATTTATTCTTTTTGTTCATCGAAACGAACGAAGCGTTCGAACCAAGGAATTGGACTGACCAGGAGCCTCTCAACGATTCCTGAACAGATAGCTCAAGGGATATCAGAAAAGAGACACAATGCCTTTAGCTATCTGTATCACTAGCATCACATAGATTCATCAGCTCAAAATTGCTCCTTAATTAAGACGCCCGAATCCCCCATCCAACTTGAGCTTCCAATCCAAATGTCTGAGATCCTCGTTGTTGGCAAGCACTTGTTGCGAAGTCTTTTTGGAAATGTCAAAAGTTACAGTCTCTATATTTATGGCTGACACAAGCATACATATTGTAGCTCATTCAATTTGCCATTTGCCGCGTAGATGAAATCGCCAAAGACGCGACTCTAAAACAAAATTGAAAAGAGGCAGCTTCAACTGAAACGTTTTATAGTCTTGTAGACCGTAATTGCAACCTTACTAGCAATGGATCAATTAGAATAATAATTGAAAAGAAGAAAGGCAACTCGACCTCCTCTCTTAAATGAGATTTTCATTGGAATCTCATTGGGTGAAGCGTGTCAAATAAAGACGAATTCCTGCTTTGTCGCCTATTAATATGTGAGGAATCCAGATCGACTAACCCAATCTAAAAAACTCAAAGAACACCTCTTATTCTTTAAATTTCGCTTTGAGATGCGAGGGCTGAGAACGCGTTCACTTTCGAACTGTTTTCTTCAACTTGGCGCTGAATTTCCGCACGATTGATAACATTTGTGAGTTCGACTCTCAGCTCATCTTGCAACTAATCTGTGACTTAGCTTGGAATTCTTATGCTCAAACTCAAAATTTATGGATTACATATTTTAACAGAGCATCTCCCCTATCATCAAGTTCACAATCTTTCTTACTAAGCTTTCTGTTAAATGGTTTTAGGTATGTGAACCTTGAGACAAGTCGAATTGTTGCAAATCGTGTTCGCCAATTTTGTTGTGCGTCTTAGCTTCAGACACTTTCCCACTCGCAAAGCAAACTTGAAAACGCCCCTCCTTTCCATCCTTCCTGTTTCCGCAGCCCGATTGCAGAATATCTTCAAACATACTGCTTTTGAGCATATCCCATCTTCTGAAATCTTATCTCTTCTCGGGACCTCTCCCTCTTGCTCATCGCAATCAACAACTTCCCCTCCTTAAGTTAACATTCATAATTGTTTCTGAGGCGTCATATTTTAGGAGTCATATCGTTAACCAAAGCCAACATCTGTCGCATTCGTAAAAATGGAATTTCTACGGATTCTTCTACTGGTTTGAATCAAATGAATCCTGTAACAAAAACCGAATTCCAGACTCTCTGTCTACCGGACTCATTGATCTTCAACACGTTTATCTCATAGTCTATTCAGCAGTGACGAGAGAGCAAAATATCTTCAGCTTCAGGCGGGATTTCGGCTTTTTGCGAGAACCTTTTATGAGATTCAGAAAAACAAAAAAATTCAGAAATAAAGAAAAGGTTAATGTGCAGTTTTGTGTTTTCAGAAGATTGAATAAAATGAGATTTATTGGTTTTTGTCCACAGAAAAGAACACAAAGCATTTATCAGAATTGAGAGCTCCTTTTGCAGATAAAACGAAAGTGATTGGTAGGAGGAAAGGAGAACGATTTCCCATGGCCGCTCCCAAGCTGAAATGTATACATTTCTGATGGAAATCCTTTGATATAAGACTTTGCGTTATTTCACAAAAAGAAATTTTCTCAGATTGATCGAAAGATTTTTGGATTAATTATGCATTGGAAATTGGAATAAATATTGATGATTTCACGTCGAAAATCTCACCAAAGCGTGGGTGTTCGAATCCGGCTGTCCTTCAAGCCAATTCGTGAAATCCACCAGACTCCCATCCGTCCATTCAAAAACATTTCCTTTGTTCCAATTTCTCTGAATAAAGAAATTTTTATGTTTAGACATTGAGATTTCGACACGATTTTCCTTTCTTATTATTGAAATTATTCTAGTTTCCCAAACCAATATTTCTATTAAAGAACTATCAGTCAAACGAATCATTTTTCACAAAGAGCGTTCCGAAAATGGTCGAGAGAATCTTTACTTTCTAGCTTTTTATTTATGTCTTTCAATAAGAAAAATTCAACCTTCAGTCCGATCCAGAACGCATCATTCGAACCAACAGTTTTCGCTGTAATAAATACCGATTGTTTTAGATTTATAAAGCATAAGTTTCTACGTAAATCATAAATTTTCAGAATTGAATCATTTCGATTTCTTACCGAGTTTCCAAACAAAATCGTGCTCTTCCTGACTGTGAATTGAGACCAAATGGCACTTTCGAATCGCACAATATGCCTCGGCTTCATCAAACGTCACTTCTTGATCGATAACCTTGAGATAAAGATAATCCTGGCTCACAACATCCACCAAACCTTGTACCAAAAACTGGTTTTTGCCCAATACGACCATCCATCCAGATCCATGGTTCGATTTCTGAATTTCTTCGGAAAACATTAGTCCAGATCCTTTAGACAAATACTCAATCCTTTTCTTTAAAAAACTCATCAATCTGCATGCAACTTTGCAATTTCGACCGTTTTGATTCTTTCAAGAATCAAAACGGTCGAAATTGAAAAAGAAATACCAAATCAACTCACATTTGGGTCTCGAGATCAAAATTTTTGTTCTGCAACGCGTCGATTATCCCTTCGAGCTCTCCAATCTTGGCCTTTCCTTCTCTCACTTCCATATTTGGCTCGCTTCTAAAAAAAGTTCGATTTTTATCTATATTTTAGTTTGAGCCTGTCTAAAAGGAAATTACAAAATCGGTACAATTGTGCCTCGAGATCGTCGTTCTTCCTTTTCGTCTCGGCGATTTCCATTTCCAATTCTCGATTTCTCTTCCTTCCGTCAACCAAATCAGCCTCCAATTTCGCCATTTTCCTTGACCTTTCGGCGACTCTGGAATCTCTAGAAGTGTTTCATCCTCAGATATTTCTTTAAGGAATCTCAAGACTCACATCTCGGCTTTCAAATCAGCACCAATCTTCGTCGATTGGTCATCATTTTGCGAGATTTTCGAGTTGATCTTCGTGAGTTCACCACTTCTTTCCTTTTGTTCACACTGACTGAAAAAGGTGAGCTTAAATTCTTCAAGATTTCTTGATTTCACCCACATTTCCGTCTCGAGTCCGCAGATTTTTCCTCGAGCCTCGACGAGTCCTTGTTGGGTTTTCCTGAAGAGTCTTGTCATTGAGACACTCAAGCCTATTTCTTGTCTATTCTATCAATTTCACTTTTCTCCCAAAAAGCCTGCCTAAAAGGAAATTACAAAATCAGTACAATTGTGCCTTGAGATCGTCGTTCTCCCTTTTCGTCTCGGCGATTTTTCTTTCCAATTCTTGCTTTCTTTCCCTTCCGTCAAGCAAATCAGCCCCCAACTTTGCGATTTCCCCCATTAAATTCGCCTCGATTTGAACCATATTTGCTGCCAATCGATTCATCTCGAGGTCTTGGTCCTTTTTCATTTCTTCCCTAAACTCTTCAAATAAATTAAAGACTTTTTTTTGATAGAAGCAAAGATTTGGCAAAAAACCCACAAATCGGCTTCGAGTTGGGCGATTTTCTTCCGATCGTCCATTTCGGTTGCTAGACGATTTGATGCCTACAAAATGACTGAATCTTCTCGAAGAATAAGTAAAAATTAAAGGAAACAGCTACCAAAGAGGCAGAATTGATGAGAGAAGACAAAATCAAACAAGCAAAATAGGGATTTCTTATTAAAACGGAAACAGCTACAAAAAACCATGATTTGTGGCAAGAAATAGAATGAGGACGCAAGGACTTCCTCAATAATTTACCAATATTCAGACTAAGTTTGAGGAGTGGGAAGCTCATTGCTGCGAATGATTGATGAGTTTTGCACAGGATGGTTGAGACTTTGCTTTTAATCCATTTGCATCTTGCCTATTCTCCAATCGTCCGTATTTGTGGTGCTCCTCGAAACAGATTATCAAATGATTTCGATCGATTCCCCCAGAACTTTCGATACAGATTCTGTTCAATTTTCGGAGAAACAAACATTTGTGTTGAGATCGGTGGCTTCTCTCTGCTCCAAGAACTTTTCCATTCCATTTCCTTTTCCATTTTCCATTTAAAAAAATCATTGGTCTTTCAAACTTGAGGAATCATGAAGTAATCTTGAAGAATTCTTAACAAAACTGTGCTTTCTTTATACCGTTCTGACAAACCTAGGCTGTACACTTACTCAAAGAAGCTGATGATGAGTGTTTTCACGTTTTGCTTTGCTTTGGCACTGTATAAAAAAAGTGTAAAATGAGTATAAAAGTATAAGCATAAAAAATTACTAATTCTCACTTGAATCCGAATCTGACGAGCTTGAAGAAGTAGTATCTGTCGCTGTCATCGTCGGATGATGATGAAGAAGATTCAGAGCTTGATTCGGAGAGTCAGATTTCTCCTTCTTTCCGTCTTTTTACAAAAACTCGCAAAGATCCACCCTAAAATTTGTACACTTATTAGCTTTCTCAAATATTTCTTACGTCAGTCCACCAAGATCGATTAATGTGAAGAAATTGATGGCGAAGCGAGTATTGGCTGGGTTGTCCCGAGGAAAAAGTCCCTCAAACGCATGTTGCAATTTACTAAAGATTATTGAATTCTAGAAAATCTCTAAACTTACGGATGACAGATCCTTCCATACAGCTTTGGAAGTCCCATCATTTGAGCCAAGTCAAGGAAAATGGTTTTGATGTAAATCCTGCCCGAAGAAGCTGTCTCATTCTCGTTCAAATCGATTTGGCTCAAAACCTAAATTTGAACACTTTAAATATGGATACAACAAATTAAATATTCGCATAAAGACTTACATCCCAAGTAAAGGCATCTGTGAAAAGCAAATGACTGATTAAACGAGCCTTATTCCTCAGTTTCGTAATATCAAAGCGATGGATAGTTTGATAAGTCTCACGAGCTATCGTCTCAAAAGTAGCCTAAAATAAAAAAAAAGGTCACAATAGAACCAAAAGCTGACCGCAAATTTATCTCTCCGAGTTGCCATTTCAGTTTCAATCATATAACGAATACGTGAATCCAATTGTGCTTCAGCAAGAATGTTTCGAAGTCTTGAGTAAACATTGTCCAAGGCACGCGGGGCAATCTAACAAAATCATTTCTCAATAAGCGCTTCTAAATAAGGCAAACCACTGTCAGTTTCGCGCCACATTCTTTCAGAAAAGCAATACACACTTCCACTGAATCTTCCGTTGGTGTTTTAAGCATCAAAAGCACGATCTCAAGAGCAACTAACTCGTGAGCCTAAATATGCATCGAATTCATATGCAACGAAAAACCGCATACCACTTGTTGATTCATCAAGCGTGCGAGAAATTTACTGACAGTCACCGTTGTTGCTTTGTAGTTTCGACGAGAAGATCGCTTGAACTGCACAATCAAACGTCTAAATACATAATTTCTAAAGTCTAAAACTGTGAAACATACTAAGTGTCAATTCACCAATAACAGGAAAATTGAAGTTAATCACTCGAACCAAAAATTAAATTAACAGTTTCTGCCGTTCAGGACTTGCATCACGCGTTGGTGATCGAGATCTAAATAATTTTCATGAAAAAGGTGCAAAGCTCTATTACGGTCTTCGCCTTTCTGGAGAAGCTTTACGTTTCGGGGATGGCGACCTAAATCAGCTGTAAACAAAGACAATTTTTAAAACTAACCGTCTTCGTCTTTTCGGTGAGGGGTCGCCACCTCTGCGTCTTTCTGGTGAACGTTCATGGTCCCCACGGCCACGGTCCCATTAACTCAACAAATTAACCTTTATTCATAAATATCCGGAAGAGATACACACTCATAACGTTACACACTCAACAAGTTAGCAAAATGATAATTAATGAAAACTAGGCGATCAACCTTCCGAGTCTTCGGCGCCTCCGATGTAGAGGATCTTGTTGCACCTATGCCATAAAAACTTTACACAAAGGCAACCCCACCTGAACATTCATGTAACCGTCGACCGAGATGAGGACGCCTCGATATTCCATTCCCCACTTCAGTCTGCACATAACCGCTTTCCGGCAAATCCATTGAGCTTTGGGCTTTGGGTTGACTGGTTGAACAGACATTCTCTGAAAACAAAATTAAAAACGAATTGAAGTAGATAAAATGTTAAAAAGAGCAAGATTGACGCGGGAAGGAGTCCTCGTAAACAAACAGAACGGTTTCACGGAATAATTTTTGGAAGAAAAGGATTCGAATACAAGACAGGCATATAACTAGGCGCTTTATGGAGGAACAGTGTGGTTTTTGCACGAGGGAAGAGAAAGGGTGACAGAAATAGAAAGGCGTAAAAATGTAAGATTGGCTAATTCAAGAGCACGCGAAAAATAAAATAATTGCTCGACTGAACTTTTTTAAACCACTAGAAGGAGTTAAAGATATTCAGCTAAATAATTAACGTCTACATTTTTTGAAATAAAATGTTTATCACAGTGCATTTTGAGAAATTTTCGGCGCGAAACCTTTTTTACACCTTTTTTAAACATTTTGGTTTAGTTTGGGGTGCGACCCGCTTTAAACTTATCATTGAGGATGTTTCTGCTTAAGAATGCCGAATTGCACAAAAAAAGGCTAAAATGGGTTTCCCCAAAGCGCTTACAACATAACAAGAACGCGCAGCATCCAACACCAGATTAATACTCGTCGGTGGCGACACAAATGTGAGTAAGCTCTCTCTACAATGTTAAACCAGTTATCTAAACAGGATTTAAAACCTGAAGGGTAGCATAAAGTAAGTTGAATTTATCATTTTACTGTTTATTAGTACAGAACCGAAATGCAACAATACCCATTACAAAAACAGCATGCGCATCAAGAGAAACAACCAAGTCTCCCAAGAAAAGAAGGCAAAGAACCCGAATCGATGTGACGGTCCGTATTGTAGATCACGCACATCCATCAGCTCGTTGCGTTGTCTGAGTGATGGCTTCAGAATCTTTTGGCGGTAGAGTTGCTCGTATTCTCCGGTTGAGTCCGACGTATGGAGCGAAGGAAAGACAATGATTTTCACCGTGTTGCGCTTCTTGTTGACCGCCTTCATTCCGTTGATCAGCTCTTCAAAGATCTTGTCGTTGGCGAGGATCTTCGTGGTCTCCGGCACTTGCATGTAGACTTCTTGCAGTGGCGTCGTTGGAGAAATAGAAGCCGCAAGTCGTTTCAAATCCTCTTCGGGATTCATTGATGCTTTTCGCACTTCGCACTTCACTTTGCTCTTCAGTATTAGGTTGGTGCAAAAAAAATTTCGGTCGATATAAAATGTTCTTATTTTTTTAATCTGAAGAGCTTATTTGATGTTCTTTTGTGCATTTGTACTCTTGGATATTTACTTTATTTTCGCATTTTTTCAAAGTCAGAGCTTTCACTTTTTAATTGATTTTTGCTTTAGATCATGGTGGATCAAAAGTATGTTCTGCGCACGTGTCTTCTCTATGACTTCAAAATGGGCAAAAACGCTTCTGATTCACATCGTGATCTCTGTTCCGCGTTTGGAGAACAGGTTATCACCGAAAGATCATGCCAGCTCTGGTTTGCCCAATTCCGAGATGGTGATGAATCCCTTGAAGACGAATCGCATGGACATCGTGCCACAGCCATCGACAACAATGAATTGGAACAATTAATTGAAGCTGATCCAATGCAAACAACACGAGAACTTGCCAAACATCTCCAATGTGATTATTCAACAATTGTACGCCATTTGGAAATAATTGGAAAGACAAATCGTAATGGACAATGGGTTCCACATCAATTGAGTGTTGAGAATCTGGGAGCACGCGTTTCGATCAGCCATGTCTTGCTCCATAAGTCGAAAAGAAGCCATTTTTTTGAGAATATCTTGACGATGGATGAGAAGTGGATTCACTTTGATAATACTTCTCGAAAAAGACAATGGCTGAGCAAAGGTCAAGCGCCAATTCCAACTCCAAAGCCGGATTATCATGGGCGCAAAGTGATGTTGTCTTGCTGGTGGAATATCAATGAACTTGTTCATTTTGAATTATTAGAGCCCGGAAAAACAGTCGATTCATCTTATTTTATTTAACAACTCAAGAAGGTTGACGAAATTTTGCGTGAAAAAGGCCTAAATCCCTCAACTATCAACTTTCTCCGTGATAATGCTCCAGCTCACACGGTAAAAACCTCTTGTAAGGAACTAGAGAAGCTAGGATGGAAGGTCTTACCACATGCGCCGTATAGTCCAGACTTAGCACCCTCCGATTTTCACCTTTTCAGATCGATGCAACATTCCCTTGAGAATTGCCAGTTTAAGAATGCAAAAGAAGTCGAAAATTGGGTGACCAACTACTTTGCATCACAGAATCAAGCGTTCTTTGAGAAGGGGATCCGCAATCTGTAGCAACGTTGGAGGGATGTCATAGATAATAATGGTGCTTATTGTTTTAAATAAATTGTTATCTAAAAAAATTTTGGATGACTTTAATGTTTGTAAAAAAACGAGATTTCATTTGCACCAACCTAGTACATATGCCAGCTGAACGACGGTTTGGTCACCAAATAGGACCACTTGCGTGTCGGTCAGCATCACGA